ATAAAAGGCGCAGCATTGGATTCGAACTTGAAAGATAAAAGTAAATGGGATACATCTCGATAGTATAATTTTCAGTTTTGTACCAAAATTCAGGAGCCTTAAAATTTTTACATGTTATTTATATATATAAAGAAAATTTGTAACTATGTATCATAATAATTTAATAAGAACGGTAAATAAATTAAATGAACTAATAATTAAAATATAGTATAATAATATTAATTATTTATAGTAATATTACTATGTGATATTATTTTTGTTAATTCATATAATTTATTTATTTGTCTTTATTAGTGATACATTATATATAGTTGATGCGCTATTTGTTTTCAAATTTGCAGTTGCTCATACAACTTTTTTCTCTCATTGTAATATTCTATTTATACATACATATGTTATAAGCCTTAATGAAGTAACGCAATTTTGAAAATAATATTTTCTTCCTATTATCAGGTTCGCATATCACACGCAGTTATAAGGTTCTTATGTAGAGAATTTTCTTTCTCTCTTACTCGATGATCGTACACGAGAGACAGTCTCTTATGCGTGTAGATTTGAAAACTTTGCAACTTGAGAATTTTTATCTTAAAGATAATTTTACAATTGCGAGCAAATCATCACTCACAGATACGCGACGACAACGATACAACTTGACATACTCAAAATCGCGCCGTTATGATCACTCACCTATATAGCATCGGCTAAATAATCATTATCCGAGGTGGACATATATAGTTACGGGTAATTGTATAATACGTAATAATTATTTTATATTTGTTATTTTTCGCGTTTATTTGCAAGTTTAATTCGTTTGAATAATCTGCAGTTATCGTATCTTTTAAGATAAATGACAAATTTAAAGAGTGAGATTTATTTGGAAGATTTATTATCGATTTATTATGTAAAATTGAAGGAGACTGAAGGCCTATCACGCGTATACGTATTCTTCTTTCAAGCGAGTTCCTTCTTTCTGCCTCGCGTGGAAGCACTAGAGGAGGTGAGCAATGCCGTGTGCGCATACTCTCTTGTGCTCGCAGATTGACGCCGTTTCTCTCACTCATACGTGTGCACGCACACACGCCCGCGCACGCACGCGGTGATATTTGCGGTTCCGCAAGGAGTGCCTTCGCCGCAGCGGTGAAGAGTATGTATATACCTATAATACTACGTGTGTATACATACATACATAGTATATATCGCAATGTCACCGTAACGACGTTTTGTATTGTGTGACACCTGCCTGCCGGCATTATACGAAGCTTTAATTTGCCGCTCGCAGATCGGTAATCGGATGTTAACAGTACGCGCTATCGATCGAGCGCGCGCTCAGTGCGCATTCAAAAGAACGGAACTGACGACAATATCGCGGGAATATCTTCGAATCACTACTTTCACACGCAGAGACAGATAGATTAAAATTTCAACACACACACACACACACACACACACACACACAGTCGAGTTTCAACGATTTTGCGTGATCGACGTAAAATTCGTATGTCTTGTCTCATTCTTCTTTCGGCATTAATCGTAACATTTGCGCTCACATCAAAAGTTTATCGGTACATATGTTAGAAAAGGTCGTAAAACTTCGGTAAATCACGAAAAAGAAATTAAGACAGTCTTTTGTTTTTTATTCATTTCGGACTATCACCGCGCTCTTAATCTTATTATTACAGTTCAAAAGCCTACTTTTAAACTTTAATTTATATTAGGAAACAATATCGATTGATTCATACAGCTAGAGAATATGTTTAATAAAATTAATTATATATCTAACAATATGTTGAAGCTGATTAATTGCAAACTAAGAGAGAGATAGTTCTCTTAAAAGTTAAAATCAATTAAATATTCGCAATATCGATTCGCGGTTGTTGTTGATTAAACGCAGAAGCATCATCTCAATCTAATTAACCGTAATCGGCAAGGCGGGACAATTACAACGATAGGACAATATTTCATAATCAAGTTGCACGCGAAGCAGGGGTTCCTTAAGGAGGTCTCTTATTAGCTAACAGCTGCGGGAAAAGATCAAGTGGATTGCGCGGCGGACAGGAACGGATCCTTATAATGTGCGGTTTCATTTCATTTTTCAATTGAGTAAACAGTCTGTAGTTTATATAATTAATGAGTATAATCCCAAGCAGATATATCAGATTCTATTACAACGGAGACGATATCTGCGTTAAATTCTCTCGATATAGTGCGCGTTTTTCTTTTTCCATACAATATAGTATATTAATAACTATTTAGTATATGATATTAACTCTGTGACTCGTGGCAAAAAAATCCGTTAAAAGATAAGAATTATAATAACGGATAGGAATGTTATTGTCAAACTGATTTAAATACTATTCGTGAGGATATATATGTACGAGTTATCAATTTTGTTTCTATTTTTCATTCATTTTAATCGCGAAATATAAATTCATAACGACAGACATTATTATTTCGACAATTAAATTCGACTTTCTGTAATGATTCTTCACTTCTCTTTTATATTTACGAATCTCCCAAAATTTCAAATAGATTTAACAGGCACGATTAAATATCCAGCCCTGATTGCAGATGCAAGGGAGAGAGGGTGGCAACGGGGGATGGAAAGAGATCATCTATACAGAGCCCAAATAGATTGAGGAAAGAAAATGGAACGATGGAAGAGGAAAGCAGAAATAAGTGGGGAGAAAGACGAGATTGAAAAGTTGCGGAAAGTGGCGGGAGAGTCTATCGAATACATCTGATTATTCCGTACACGGCACTGTGCCGCGGAACATACGAATCCGCATATCGCGAAAGGTGCAGTTAAGTACCTAAACATACTACTGATCATCTTTGGTTCTTTTGGCATCGCTGTAAAGTCACTTTCAAAAGTCCGTTGTAATCACAGCTGCAAAGGACATTCGAGAGGTTTTTAGAAGGGTGTTGACTAGTTTAGGCAAGTAATTAATTCACCGTACACTATTCAAAATATCTGTAGTATTAATGTATGTTTATAAAATTGTTTCATTTATACATATACGCTGAATAATTAGATAACTATAATAATAGTGTGATAAAATAGTAGATGATGGAAAAAAATACAAACGAATATGTCACACATGCGCACACGCGAAGAGATGTTGCTGCGTGTAACTATCGTCTATTTTTATATGTATTACATATATATATATATATCATACGAAACGATAAAACATAATTATTTTGCTGTTGTAAAAAAGTCATGACTGCTTCGATGAGAAGCAAAAGTTTATTTGTTGTACAATAGGAAAATAATGCGAGAGAGAGAGAGAGAGAGAGAGAGAGAGAGAGAGAGAGAGAGAGAGAGTGTGTGTGTGTGTGTGTGTGTGTGTGTGTGTGTGTGTGTGTGTGTGTGTGTGTGTGTGCAAATGACAAAAATGTTTAACAAAACTATTTTTACTAAGCGTTTGCTATCGTTTGCTATTTGCGTATAAAGGATAAAATTCTGCACCGGTAAACTTTTCATTTTTGCATTCTGTTATAATACATTATAACACAAAAGTCTTTGTAAGAAATATATTATAACAGAAGTCTTGTGCAGCAACGATGCATTCTTGATCGGCATATAAGAGAGAGGTAACGTATAAAAAAATCATCGCGATAATTACTCCGATATATATTTAAAAACTTATATGATGAGGTATATAAGATGCGATCGGATACGCAAGTGTATATTTCAGGATATTTTTCTAGTGACTTTACCCTCTTGCGAAAGTGCCTCGTATAAATAGATGCGCAGATGCCTGATGCATAAGTATTATGAGATCAGTCCCATACGATATCAATGGAATAAATCAATTTGATTTGCACAATCTTCCTAAAATTTGCTTTAAATAATGTACATGTGTAGATATATGAAGACAAGTTATCGGAAATTGAATATATATAAATATTAGACATTTATTATTATACATTTTACATTACATATATCGAAATAAGATACAAAATATTAAATTCTTTTAAATTTTCAACAGCTTTCTTTATTGATATAGGATATTCAAGTGCGCGATTGAAAAAATCTATAAAATATATGTATATTTAAAACAAATAAAGCAAAATGGAGATGAGGTAGCGCCAAGGATTCAAGTTATATTCTTGAAGATAAATGTTATCAGATTGTTAAAAAAGTGAACTGTTTGTTCTTTGTAAATTATTTTATTATATTTTATCGAACGATTGAAAAGTCTCTCTCTCTGTCTTTCTCTCATTTTTAAAAATAGTAATATTCATAATTCAAACATTATCGCGATTCTTACGAGTTTGCTATATTTACGGTTTGCTTCATTTTGTTCTAAAAAGTAGTTAAAGTCATTATAATTATATTTTTTTTCATTATAATCATATTGTTTGAATATTTTGTGAAGAATGTTTTCGGCATGCGAGTTGTCAAAGCCTAAACTTATTGATATTATCGAAACGTCTTAAATAAATCAGCGGCGCAGGGTCATCGATGAGCCGACAAACGTGAGTGAAATTATGAACGATCTAATAATAATCGCGCTCTTATCTATACATCAAGTTGATTTGAATTCAAGGGATCAATCCTACACACGGGTTTCATCTTTTTAGTGAGCGAGGTCAGTGATCATAGTAAATGAAAATTTACGAAATATCGCCCAACATTTAACAAAATGTGCAATTGTGCATATACCAATTAGTGCGTCATGAAAGTATCTCGATGTTAGATGCAAATTTTATAAAGGGCTTTTATCACGTTACTTTTGGAAAGGGTATATCATGTGCACGTATCTAAAAAAATATTTAAAGAACGGCAAAACGCTGTCAAGATTTATATATGTATATACATACATACACACATAAATATACATACACATATATATTTAATTTATCTCTCTCTCTCCCTCTCTCTCTTTGTGTGTGTGCGCGTACGCGCGCGCCTAAATAAGCTCTTGTGCAATAGATAGTTTTAGTGAAAATTGCGTGTTTTTCTATTAGATTTTGCAGGATTTGTCTCAAGAAACATGTACGGTCTAATCTTGGAAAATCTAGCCGAATATATAAGGCAGGTTTACGGCGAAGACAGATGGGAAGAGATCCGCAGACAGGCATCTGTGGACCAGCCGAGTTTTAGTGTTCACCAGGTTTACTCGGAAAACCTGATACCGAGATTAGCGAAAAAAGCAATTCAGGTATTATGTCTATACGATGCACCGTATTTGTTTCACCGTATGTCGCAGATTAATTATTTAGCTTGGAAAAACATTGTATAATTTTCATAAAGGTCAATTATGAAATATATTTCACAATCAGTCAGAAGACATTTATAATTTTCAATATTTATTTCGTTGTCTAATATTTCAATCGTTTAACTATATTTGATCGGTATAAAAACTGAATGTTTAAATCTTGATACAGAATATACTATATTATATATCATATAAAGGATATATTAAATGCATGTAAATTTTATTTCATTCCATTTGTTCGACTAAAGCGGATAAATGGCTTTATTCGGAGCAGACTGTGAAAATATTTCAGTATATTTATTCTTCAGGTACTTGGTGTAACGGAAAAGGAATTCTTCGATCAAATGGGTGTGCACTTTGTAGGATTTGTTGGACAGTACGGTTACGATCGCGTACTCTCGGTGCTTGGACGGCATGTTAGAGATTTTCTCAATGGTCTAGACAATCTCCACGAATATCTTAAGTTTTCTTATCCAAGAATGCGAGCACCTTCGTTCATATGCGAAAACGAAACTCGTCAAGGTGAGTTTCGAAACTGCTATACATACATATACATATACATATATAGCCGTCCGCAATTCGAAAAAGTTCTGAAAACAATCTTTCATTCTTGGACTCTATTACTTCCCGATGCACATATAATTCGCAGTAAGATTCAAAAAAGGATTTTTACTTCTTTAGCCTATACGTAAAATGTTTTGGATTTTAAGAAATCGCTGTATAAGAAATTACGAATGCGCAGGATTGACTCTTCACTATCGAAGCAAACGCCGCGGCTTTGTCTATTATACAATGGGTCAAATAAGGGAAGTCGCCCGACATTTTTATCATAAGGAGCTGCAGATTGAGCTGGTACGCGAGGAAGTACTTTTCGATACTGTCCACGTGACCTTTCAACTTACCTTCGATAATCGTGCCTTCACGCTAGCATCGCTCGCGATGACCCGTGAGGAAAAACATCTGCCGATCGGGGCGTGTGTGCTTTTTGAGATATTTCCCTTCTGCATCGTTTTCGGGTGCGTGCTAAAATAATTGTGCAAAAATGCTATTGAAATTAAAAAAAAAAAAAAAAGATTTGCGCGCAATTTGTAGAATCTGCAGATATATATTTAAATTCGCACACAGAAATATTTAAGCACTAAGGTCAGCTTTGATTTTAGCGAATATAGCAATTTCTCTTATTTAATTAGATTTATTCTTATCTGTCTAATTTTCTTTTATCATGTTGGCTGCATTTGGGCAGCGCGCTGTCAACGCTATCGCATTACTCTATCGGCTATTCTTATATATTGTTATATATTAGATATGTAAAATAAAGACAGAACGACGCAACAGCAACGTGCTCCCCGAACGCATCCGAATATCTGTTTTGATGCGGTTTGAGAATCAAATTTTATTGGTTGCCTTCAGCAGAAAAAGCAGCTTTGTAACTGTTGTAAAATTCTTGAATATGATTGGCTTATACATTTAGATCTAATGAGAAAGTAAGGGCAAGAGCAATCATATATTAAAAAATTTTACAACAGTTGCAAGATGCTTGTTCTCTGCTGAACGCGCGCAGCCATATTATTTATACAATTTTTGTGTTCTGGTTCGATTTAATAATTAAATTGCAGTGATTTGAATGAAAATTAATCTGTGTGAAATTGTTCAGGAATTCCGTTCTTTTTTCTTTCTTTACCGTAAAAAATACTCTGTACATATTGTACATACAGTAGAGTGTATCGAAAAAAGGAAATATTCGAATTGGCCCAGTGCGAAAAATATAGAGGACCATGACGGAAGTTCACAGGAATGTTTTCAGATGTTTCGGACCATATCTTGAGCTTCCGCAATGGCCTTGAAGTTTTAAAATCGCCTTAATGGATAGGTAAACCCGCAACACACGATTCTTGCGAACGTCTATGACCGCGTGAAGGTGGCTGCACTTCCCACCCCAAGCCCATTCAATCACCCTACCATTAAACTTACCTTTTAGAGATTATGTAGGTGATAATCAAATTTTGTGTTAATTTTTGGATTTACTGAGCAAGCCAAAAGCTTATTTGCTCTAATTGCTTTATCTCTGTTCTCAGCACTGCAAACATAGACAGCTTTAGTGACAAGTTTTATGTATCTCTTGACACTTTGTGTGTGAAAAGGGAAATGTTCTATGAAATCTTTATTACTCTTTATTTTGGTAGACAATTCTTCACTATTGAAGTGAGTTCAGTATTGGAGGATCAGTCAAGTCTGACCAATCAATGAGTTAATTCATAATAATTCTTTGCTTCAAAATTGAGTTTAGGAATTCAAGAATTATGTGTTGCGGGTTTGCCTACCATTAACGCGATTTTAAAATTTCAAGGTGTTACGGAGGCTTAAGATATGATTCAAAAAATTTTAAAAAATTCCTGTGAACTTTCGTCATGGTCTTTCGTATTTTCCGTACTATAGGCTAATTCCGATTTCGAATATTTCCTTTTTTCGATACACTCTACTGTACACGCATGCAAATTGATTTTTTAATATGATATACATATGTGATTAATGAATAAATTAAATTTCAGATCGGATATGATTGTTAGAAGCATCGGCAATTCACTGATGGTTATATTGCCAGACCTGGTTGGCAAGAAGATTACTTACTTCTTCGATTTGGTTCGACCACTTATTGCGTTTAAATTTCAATCGGTAAAGAGTAACTCTAAATTTAGCCCATTTTGTGGCTCTCAAAATTCAAAGTGTATATCAAACGACAAAAAAAGTTTTTACTAAATTTAAAAAAAAATGGATACAAAACACGTTTAAAAAAAATTCAGCAAAAGAGCTTTTTTAAGAATAGTTTTACGTCCTTAAACATTTAAGCAACAAGGGTCGGTTTTAGAACAGAGAATCATTTTAACTAATTCTAATTAAAATTCCACTGTTATCAAAGAACTTGTATAACTTTCTTTTTGTATCTTCTAATGTGCTTGGACAATATTATTAGGAATTTGACTATTTTCTCTCTCTCTCTCTCACACACACACACACACACACACACACACACACACTCTCTCTCTCTCTCTCTCTCTCTCTCTCTCTCTCCGCAATTTCAAAAAACTAAAATTTATCTAAAAATGAGATTAATGTTTCGTCATGTATAGCATCATTTGGCATGCGATTCAAATTTCGAGAGTCATAAAATGGGGTATAGAACGGGTATAGAACGGGGTATAGAACGGCATAAAATGGGTATATAGAAACTTGTTCCTTTTGGGGTCACTTTGTAATAACGTAAGAAAAAATTTGGCAAAAAAGAGACACAAGAAAATTGATCAAGTTCAATAAATAATAATAGTCTAAATCTGTGTGTTTCTGAATATTTCAATGCACTGTGTATTTAAATATTTTGAACAATCAAAAATTCCCAAATTTAAGCTGCTAATATGATTTTAAACCATTTCTGACTGACTTATTTTGTATAATTTAGATATTAAACAGAACAAATAACATTTTTGAGCTGGTTACTGTTGAACCAGTGCTTACGGAACGATTAAATGATCGACATAGGAACGAAATTCTCTTGAGTGACGAACTTGAGACAGTGGAAGATAAGACTTTACGATTAAAGGGTACGTTTATATTTACTCTTTAGCTTTAAAAGACTTATTATTATTGTTGGTTACAGTAAAAATGTTAATTGTTATGTGAAACTTTTTATTCGCTGAAATTGATAATAAAAAAGGTTTTTTTCTGTTTTTATTATACACGGTAGTAAAACAGACTGTTATGTCGAAAAAGAAAATACGGGTGGAGACGTAGAAAAAGATTTGAGAGAAGACATCATCTCGGCAAAATCGTATTTTTTCAGGTCAAATGATATATATGGACAATTGGAAAATGATGATGTATCTTGGGACACCTGTTATGCCCGATCTGAACGCTTTAATAGCAACAGGCCTTTATATAAATGATCTCTCGATGCACGATTTTAGCCGGTAAAAAAGCCTTTCAGCCGATGTAGTTTTAAGAGGAAAAGAATTTTTTACTCGGTTTCGTGTTGTCACGACCAGAGTAACATTATTTTTCATTGTTAGAGGGAACTGTCGTGTTTGTATTAAAAATTAAATTTGAAAAAATTATAGTAGTTTTCATCTTTGGTGATCTACCATACACAGTTAAGTTCTGTATCAAACAATCGATCTGCTATAATTATATTATTGACTTAATAACGATTCACAGTGACCTCATGCTTGCTGGAACTCAACAGTCAGTGGAATTAAAATTAGCGTTAGATCAAGAACAGCTTAAGAGTAAAAAATTAGAGGAATCCATGAGAAAACTCGATGAGGAAATGAAGCGTACAGATGAGTTATTGTATCAAATGATTCCCAAACAGGTTGCAGATCGTTTGAGGAATGGTGAAAGTCCGATTGATACTTGCGAGGTATGGTTAAAAAGATTCAATATATATGGTAGATATATATCATAGAACTAACTGTACATAGCCATGCAAAACGTTAATTAAGTATTAGAAACCTTTGCGAAATTGTGTAAAAATAGTGTTATCAGGAGACGCGGTAGCGTCTCCGGCCATGTTCAAAATTTGAAAGACACTACAAGTCTCTTTATCCCGAGCCACCAAAGTCCATTTTTCAGGGGTGCATAACTATACTAAAGTATAAAAAATTTTGAATCGAACGTTATATGTCCTGAAAGGCGGCATCGCCACGAGTAATTTGAGCCAAAAAAATTTTAAATCGGTCAAGCCGTTCTGGAGATACAAGTGGTCGAAAAGTGGTGATTTTAATGAAAAATTAAGAAACGTCTCCTCCTTCTCCTTCTCCTTCTTCTTCTCTATCCGTATTCAAGGTCATAATACTAAAGCTTTTTAACATCCTCTCTCACCTTTCACTCCACCACCTTCGACCCACCAGACCTCCTCTTCCCACCACCCATCCCCCTCACCCCTCTCTTTTGTTATATAATATTTTTAAATCAAAATAAATTAATAGAAGGCTCAACAAGTATAAAACAAATAAGTTGAAAATAAGAGAAAAGAGCCAAATATTTGGCTCTTTTCTCTTATTTTCAACTTATTTGATTTTTAAATCATTTTTTAATATATTTGTGATATATTTGTACTCTAAAAAGTAAATGATATCCGAAAAAAATCATATCATAAAAGTGAAAAGTTCAAGCCATGTTAAAAAAAGGAGATACTCAAAAATTTAAACCTTTTTATCTAACAATAATATATTACCATGAAAAGTAACTGATATAAATTAAAGTTACCAGTACCAAAAGTGAACATACATAAAGTGTATGCAACTTTCGGCCGATTTTCGAATCGCCTCCGCCTTCCGCTGTCCCCCTCACCTCACCGCCCCGCGCGCAGATCAAATGTCGCTCGAGCATCGTGTGGCATTTGGACCGCGCGCGGTGAGGTGAGGTCAGGGGTTAACATTTATAGAGATCTCATATTGTGTACGTCTTTTTAGCGATGAAATCGTTGGAAAATATTCTTTGTTTGTAGATGTTCGATAGTGTATCGATCTTATTTTCGGACGTAGTGACTTTTACTGAGATTTGCAGTAGAATTTCACCGATGGAAGTTGTGTCAATGTTAAACGCCATGTATTCGTTGTTTGACACTTTAACCGAGAGAAATCGAGTTTACAAGGTATCTTTTATTTGTCAGTCGTTACATATATTAGAAAAAATTATCTCGACTATTATCTTTTAGGAATTCAACCTTATATTCAATCTTGTAGTACAAATCTGATTATATTAATTCTTATATAATAGCGCGTATTATTGCGTTATTCATAAATTTAGCAATAAATATCATTTATTTGATTTAATTTTACAATTAGTTTGATTTAATTTTAATTAAGTTTAATAGACAAAAATTGCAAAAACAATGATATCTTTATTTACATTTTCATGTTTGAAAAAATATTTTTATACCAAATGATCGGATAGTCCTTTTTTATTCAAGGTCGAAACTATCGGTGATGCTTACATGGTAGTCTCAGGTGCGCCGGTAAAAGAAAGTGATCATGCAGATCGTGTATGCGATATGGCGCTTGATATGGTAGAAGCGATAACCGATCTCAAGGACCGTTCAACAGGTATATTTTTCAATTTTCTTTTAGAGCCTTTTTTATTTTGTTATACGTTTCCCAAAAATTTCTAATAATTTTGCAATGTGATTCTCGTTACGAATCCATACAATCTTTTAAAGTCTTGGGACATAAAATCATTGTTATTACATTATATAGCTGGTCTCTCGCACTCACGCATGCACAGTGAGATTTTAACATTATATTTCTTTCTAGAGAGAGATTGTATCCTTTATAAAATTCTAATTAATTTATCTTTAAATATTAATTTGTTTACACACATATTCTGTATCTAGAAAGTGTTTAACATGTGTTTTAGGATACTGAACTCAATACATATTTCACTAACAATATAAGTGGTACGCAGCGTAGAGAGATTTGACATTACTGCACTCTAAAAGAAAATTTATCTCTATGTTAATCTCTTAAACAGGCAACCATCTTCAGATACGCGTTGGCATTCACAGTGGTGCGGTGGTAGCCGGTATCGTTGGTTTAAAGATGCCACGGTATTGTCTCTTTGGCGATTCCGTCAATACAGCAGCTCGCATGGAAGCGACAAGTCAAGCCATGCAAATACACATATCTCAATCCACTCAGGAATTGTTGTCACCCTCGTATAAGGTCAAAGAACGTGAAGAGATCGAAGTCAAAGGAAAGGGTAAGACTCGACCATCTTGAATGTTTTATTGTCTGCACTATTTTTATACGGAGCGATGTTCCTGCAATGTTTAATTCTGTTTGTTAATATTTCATCTTAAGAGGATTTATTGACACATGTTATTCTAGCTATTATAGTGAACACTGAATATATATTGTAGGCACAATGAAGACATATTGGTTGGAAAAACGAGAACGTCGTTCTGTTACGACCAAAGGGATCACTATACAGGAGCCTCATCAATGGCACACAAAGAGTTTCGAGAAAAGAGTTTCCTCGGTGGGAATGATAAGCACATCAGGTACGTTCGACAAATCGACTTCGGGAGACGTGCTGTCGAGACGTAGAGGCTCGTCGAAGATGTCATCCCCTACGCCACCGGGATCTTCGGGATTTCTTTCCGAAGAGAGAAGAATATATTCCCCTATTACTTTTCAAGATGTCGCGCGACGATCGATCGCGAATTCACCGACGAAGAATGTGGAAGTACGAGGTGAAATTTCTCTCTATATTAAAAATTTTTTTTATGTTTAATCTTCTGAGTTTTAGAGATATACGTAGAGCTATAAGTATATGTACATATATCTATAATATATATTAATTGTATAATAAAAGTATGTCGCAGCATCACCGCGTTACTGCGATTGCTTGGCGAATTGTATGATCGAGAGCTAGAGCTGCTTTAGGAACTTTACCTAAGTACTTGCTATTCCAATTTCCTGTAAACAGACTACATACATATTATAACATATTATAATAGAGGAATAAATTTCTCGTTGGTGTGATTCCAGAATGTCGATCGAATTCTATGGGTGCGGTAGGCATTAGAAGCGCATCAGACATGTTCAGTTCTCTCCTGAACGACACGGAGGAGCACTTCCGACAGCACCGGGATAACTTGTCTCCGCGCTTTGGAGAAAATCAATCGGCGAGCGTACACGGGAACCCGGAAGTGAAGATTAACGCCACTTCATCCTTGTCTTATTCACAGAGTTCGGAAGGAGAATCGAATTTATCGTTGGATTTCGCACTACAGACGCTAAAGGATAACGCAGATGCGAGAGTAATTGATAATGAAAACGAGTGTGCAGCAATGAATAGCGATCTCAACAACTCTCAATTGTTGATGCAACAGGACCAGTGCTGTCCGGGATTTACTATCTCAAAGAGCAGCAAAATGCGTCATCAGGGAAATAGCTGTATTATTGTCTAATGCACAAGTTGAAGATTGTTGCGATGAAAAATGTCGCAGATTTATCATTTTTTTAAGATATCAAACATGTTCCCTTCTTCGCTTATTTTCCTTTTCGTTTTTAACTTAAAGTAAACATGTTAACCATATTATTTTTGTTGAAAAAATTCAATTTCGATCTGCTCCTGGAATAATTTTACAAATTTAAAATAATAAATACCTTTTATGCCCATTTCCACCAATGCAGATTAACTTTTAATCTCGGTTCAATTTGCTCTTCGTCTTTTTCAAATTCTAAAAATTAGAAAAAGATTAACAGTGAGTTAAACCGAGATTAAAGTTAATCTGCATTGGTAGAAACAGGCATTAGAGATGATTTTTATGTATTTCATACAAAACAGTAATTTTTTTATAATTTCAAAGAGGAAAAGGAAGGGAGGAGAGGAGGGGAGAGACTAAAGTGAGCCTTCTTGTCCATTATTTGATTATAAGAAACTTAAATTTTTCAAAATATAGCACGGCCAAATGTATTCGCGTATGTTTAATAATAATTATACATATATCTCAAAATAAAATGCTACAAGCTTTAAAGCATTTATATTCTTCGATGCTATTTGAGCAATATTCCTAATAATAAAACAACATTGGTACATATCATATATGTGTTGGGGACCGCGATATTGTCCTGGTTATGTTCAGCAGAGAAATTTTTGATTCAGTTGAGTGAGTGAGTAAGTGAGAGAGGGGGAGTTCAGAAGCTCCAAGTTCAAATAATTAGATTGCAGTTACTTCAGTTTAGGGCGTGTTCGGATTCTCTGCACCCGTGCTCTCCTTGTTCAACGTTTGGTGAACAAGGATACATATAATGGATGCCTTTCGACACAGGATGCGTTCCGCATGGTGCTCATAATGCATTGTTTATCCGTTGCTCACCAAAAAACAAGAATAAATGGATGCGCGCATCATGCGCGATATGGAACGTACGGTGTGACACAGTCTATCAGTACGTCCTTGTTGTTCACCAATATTAAACAAGGATGAGATGATCACTGACATCACTGTGTTGTTCTGTGTTGTCGCTTTTGTTGGAAGGCACACGATATAAAGTGATGGGAATATGAACGTAATATTAAGTAGACTCGAGTGGACTCCAACATAAAAATAATTTACACGATGGTGTGTAGCTGACGTAGCAGATGCGATAGCAAAGATCAATGAAATTCTATCAGATTTCATGAATGAGCTGTTAGATGCCTAGCTTAGTTAAGCTTAATAATTTAAAGATCGCGCGCAACATGCAGTTTAGTGCAGTCAGTGGCACTTGCGATATTCAAGTAGCAGTAGTGTAGTGGTAGTTGCGTTACGGATTACGGGGGGTGCTGTCTGCTGCCGGGTGATCGCGTCGTGGTCGTCGTCGTCATCGTCACTCATCAATCAGTTGGTCGCATCGTGCTCGTGGGTTGTTGTGGCGACTTCTTCGTCATTTCTCTCTCCTTATATAAAATTTTTGCCAATTCTATATTACTCTATGGATGGAACGTCTAGTATGCTTTTGATGTGACGTGTTATATATATATATATATATATATTTTTTTTTGGAAAAAAATTATTCGGCGTAAAGTTGGGTGGTGGAAAAGACGACGCAAAAAAAGTATTGCAGGTAAATAATCATGCGACGTGTTTTCTCGCTAGATTGTCCAATATTTTAACGTACCGTGAAATGTGAGAGGTTAGGTTAGGTTAACGTAGCATGTCATGCCATGTCACTTGATATACGACACAGAAATCTGCTGCTTTCTCCCGTGATAAAAATTTGAATAAACATTGCGCTGAGAGATTTCTCTTTGTTTGTATCATTGTCTAGTCTGCACTAGTTCTCTGCGCGGTAAATTTGTCATTGACGAATCGACAGCTCGATCTTGAATTTATATTAATATCGCGATGATGATGAGAACATAAGTAGATGCTTCTCGGAACAAGTTCTCGTTCTTCAGTCGCTCGACCTTACGATGGAGATTTCACACGACTGCTGTACTTGCTGTAAATTCAATTCGGAATCATGGTAATATATTGCAGCTGTAACAAAGCATAAGTATATATCACTTAACATTCATCAGAAATTATATATTTAATGGCTGTGTAAACGGAAAAATACGTCGGGGATCTTTAAATCTTTAAAGATTTTTCTATTTCCATTTAAAAACTTTATTTACAATATTTACATATGGAATGTAGCTTGTAGCTATATCCTTTTTCTCATAGAGAAGAAAAAATTTTATCCAAGCTTGATAAAAAACCTGAATGGACAATGTTTTAATTGATATATAAATCAATTTTCATAATTATTAAGTCTTATGTTTGCAGTGAGAGAAAATGATGCAGGATGAAGACTTGGGTGGCTCAGTGAGAAAAAATATTTTCAGTCAAGGGATAATAAGAATATCACAGGTTAATATGTCTTTATAATCGTTCCACATAAACACTTTAACATCTAATACTTACACACAATTATATATTCTGTTTTATTCTACTAAAATACCATGCTGTATATATGTTAGCACTCTATTGACAAAATCAGATACTAATAAAGACACGTGATTATTATTTTTACAAACTGCTTTCTGTAATTTATTATTGTTGTTTTTGACGGTCTTTGAATCTTGTTAATTTGTAAAATCTCTCATTGCAGATATATCAAAGATACCTAGATCTATGGACTCCTCATGTAATATCACGATGGATATTTGCTTTATTCCTATTAGTACTTTTCATTCTACGTATATTTATCTCTCAAGTACGGTATTTTCTATCAAATTGTGTGTAAACGTAATTCTTTACTGTTTTATCGCATAATACTACAGAAACGCTTTCATATTTACAGGGGTGGTATATCGTCACATACGCACTAGGAATTTATCACCTCAATTTATTCATAGCATTTCTTACTCCAAAAATTGATCCTGCCATGGATTTTGATGGTAAGCGATCTGTCAGATTTTAACTTTTCCATATAATCGTACTGTGAATTATATATAGCAAAAACATTACATAATGATACATTCAGCAAATAAAAAATTATACACTCAGCAATCAAAAATTACAAATTAAAGTTAAATTTTATGTAATTTAAAGATACAAAGTTTTATACTCTTTTCTTTTTTCTTTATTTAACATGGTTAGAATTAAAAAGTTAATTTAATTTGAAATAAAATTACAGATGGAGATGGTCCAGAGTTACCTACAAGATCAAACGAAGAATTCAGGCCGTTTATTAGAAGATTACCTGAATTTAAATTTTGGTATTCAGTAACAAAATCTACAATTGTTGCCATGATATGCACTCTATTTGATTGTTTTAACATACCAGTATTCTGGCCGATACTTGTTATGTATTTCATAACATTATTCTGTATCACAATGAAGCGGCAAATAAAGGTAAGGCATCAACGGTAGATTTATTTATTTATAGCTTTTATTTTTATTATTTAAACTGTTCGATTATTAAACTATTTCGAACTAGGATCGAAACATGCAAATTACTACCAATAAACACACTTACAACTTCACATCAACACCAAGTGCAATGACTCGATTAGGCATTCTTATTACCTTTTGATTTTTATTAGTTACTTTTTATTTTACTTACCTTTTTTTATGTATTTTGATAACGGTCACACTGAAAAGTTACATAGAAAAAGTTAAATATAGCATCGTATTGAAAATGAAAAAAAAAAAAACAATTTTTATAATTCCTCTTTTCTAATTCCTTTGTCTATTTTCATAAATTTCAAATTTAAATCTGAGAAGACTTCTGCAAGAGAATTAAACGTTAAATGAAACGCATACTGTAAATAAGGTTTTTTTGTGAAACAATTTCGGGAAAGTTAGTATAAATGATCAAACTGTCCCTCTCTTCTATTCAATTTTAAAGTTTATTTAATCTTTAATCTAGCTTTTTACTGCAAATTTAATTTAAATTAATGTTATCTTTTTGCAGCATATGGTCAAGTACAGATACCTGCCTTTCACTCATGGCAAACCAAAATATCAAAACCATGAAGACACCTCACGGTTGATATCATCAAAGTGAATAGAAGTAAAGATATACTGTGCCTGTACAAAGGGGGGGGGGGGGG